TAAAAATATCGTTTTTATGATATTATCAATTAGCGAAGCTGGTTTTTTGGTAATTCTAGTTGGTTTATCTATTAATGGACACATTCCATTATTAAATAAATCGTTATAAAATTTATTTTATGGTGTCCTTGACGTGGTATTCAATGCAATTTAAGATGAAATCCCCAATTAAATAGTTTAGTTTGTTTTTAGTCAGTTTTTTTACAATTGTTGTAATTAAATAATTGCTAAAACATTCTATAAATAAAGAAATCACCAGTTCGTTGATTATTAAACTTTGCATATCCTATCTTCAATACGACGACACATTTTTTCCAGATTACTGGTCTGATATACAATCGTATATCAGACCAGTAATCTGGAAAGAGGTGTACCGGAACAGAAATTTTGATTTCCGGCCGGAACTGGATTTTCCAGAATTGTTAATAAAATTCCGGACGGAATAAGAATTATATCTATGTAACTTACCTTCAAGATTGAAAGTGAAAGCCTACACCTCATCATCATCATCATCATATATATATATATATATATATATATATATATATATATATATATATATATATATATATATATATATATATATAATATATATATATATATATATATATATATATATATATATATATATATATATATATATATATATATATATATATATATATATATATATATATATATATATATACAGGCCCGCCGCGACCCTTAATGACGCCCGGGGTAAATTATTTTTTAGCGCCCTGTCATATTGATCTAATTCAAAAAATTTTAGGTACTGTCCAAAAATTTTTTTTTTTTTTTTTTTATTAGCTAAATTCACTTTTAAAGTCTGAGGGAGTAAATACAGTCAAGGAGGCATCTATTTATTTTTAAAATAAATTTGAAATAAAAGTAAAAAAGAAGCACAAGTTGACAAGTTTCCTGATTGAAATGACACGCTGACAATTGCTTGGCGCGCTTCAAACCAGAAGGTTGTCATAATAATAAACTCAAATGAATAAATCCATTTCTCCAAACTTTTATGTCATCCAATAGATTAGCAGTTAAATCAAGTTCCTGAAGTTTCTGCAAAGAAAAAATAATTTCTCTAGGTTGCTTAACCAACGGCTTCAAAGTCTCAATCCGTGCACTCCATCGGGTTTGTGAGGTTTAATAAAGAGACAAAGCAGTTGTCTCGGTCAAGATTTGATATTGTATTGGGCTTCCACTAAAATTATTGTAGAGTAACTAAATCCGGCCAATATAGTTCTTCATTTCTACAGAAGATACAATGGAATGAACACCAGCTAAGTTAAGGTTATGAGCACTGCAGGATTTCTCTGAAGGGTGATCGCTTTTACTCCTTTATACACACCAGATAGATTTTGGCACCGTTGTTGTACCCTTAACCTCGACAGTTCTTCAGACTGATGTCATTTTGATAGTAGAAATCCATAATTATCTTTGCAATATCCACAACTTTCTTTTGTTTAAGATTTTCGACCTTAAGAAAGCGCTCCTTAACTACCTGCCTTTTATCAATATCATTGTAGACAAAGCGGAGAACAAATGCAATTTGCTCAGTATAAGAAACGCCAGGCGTTCCGTCGACAAGAATAAAATAGTAAATTACTATATGCGCATCTTTAATGATGGCATCGTGGACGATTCTTCCGCACTTTTTTATAAATTCATTTTGGGAACTCCAACCCAAAAAATGCACAATAATTTGTTTACCTTCATATTGACACCAGGAAACCTCTTTCTGATGTAACTAAAGGGTCTTGTTGTGCTTTGCGAGTAGCTCTAGAGTTGCAAAAAAATTACCGTTATCGTCATCATTGATAATTTTTGAAGTCTAAAACGACGATTTTAATACATACATGTAATAATACATGTTTACACATATAAACCATGACTTTCTGTTTAACTATAATAAAAATAAATTATAACATAAATAAAAATATGATAATTAACATTCACTAATATACCTCAAAAGCGTGATACTAAGAAGAGAATTACATCTAAGATGCACTTTATAATTTCACTTTATTATTTTTCTAAACTTGAATCAATCTAGTATTGGTTTCCCTTTTAGCGCAGTTTTTCCACTTAATGCAATAGCCTCGATGGATTGTTTTGGTGGCATTTTTTAACTCCATTGATGCCACCATTTCATATTTAATATATATATATATATATATATATATATATATATATATATATATATATATATATATATATATATATATATATATATATATGTTCTTTTTTAACCTAGTAGCCCTTAAAAGTAATTTCCCGCAACGGTTTTGGCTAGTGTCAGACTCCCAAATATGAATTCAGCTAATGCTGTATTGTTGAGTAAACAATTCATTTTTAAATTACGAGTTTAAAGAGTTTTTCATTAAAGCCCGGCGTATCTATTTTATAATTAAAAAAAAAAAGTTTTTATTTGTGCGCCCCTTTTGATCCTGCGCCCAGGTAAAAAGTACCCAGTGACCCTCCTCACGCGGCGGCC